GGCCCTGGGGCTGGAGGAGGTGTCTGAGCCAGTGCTGCTGTCAGCAGGGTTTCAGGAGGAAAATGTGTTCTGCCCAGGCGGGAGCCCATCTGTTGGCAGGGCACTCGCAGCATTGCTGGGAGCACGAGGCTTCCCAGCCAGTGCTGGCTCCTGCACCTCCAGCCCCTCTGGCTTCTGCTCCCGTGGCTGTCACAGCTCCTATTGTGGCCAAGGAAAAGCCATCATCACCTGGCAGCATTACCACAGGGAGCAACAACCCCAGGCACCCCCTGTGCTGGGGAGAGAGCCCTGGGCACAGAGCAGGACGTGCTGCCAGTGCCCAGCTACACCAGGAAGGGATCTGAAACCTCATCTCCTTCCACCCCCTGTTGTGGGCTGGCACACCTTTCACTGTCCCAGGCTGCTGCAAGCCCCATCCAACCTTCCCCTGACCACGTCAGGGATGGGGCAGCCATGGCTGTGTGGGCAGCCTGTGCCAGGAGCTTGGACGAGCTGTTGGATCTCCAGCCTGGAGGGCTCAGAGCAGCACCGGGGAGAGGCAGCAGCACACACACCTGGGTACAGAGCCAGGGACCTCACTGTGCTGACCGAGGGTCCCTGCCTGGCCCCAGCCCCGTCCCTGAGCCCAGCCCTGCTCCCCCAGGTGCAGAGCTTCCTGCGGGGCTGGCTGTGCCGCAGGAAGTGGAAGACCATCATCCAGGACTACATCAGGTCCCCCCACGCTGACAGCATGCGCAAGAGGAACCAGGTGGTGTTCAGCATGCTGGAGGCCGAGGCCGAGTACGTGCAGCAGCTCCACATCCTGGTCAACAACTTCCTGCGGCCCCTGCGCATGGCCGCCAGCTCCAAGAAGCCGCCCATCACCCACGACGATGTCAGCAGCATCTTCCTCAACAGGTGAGCTCTGTCCTGGGCTCCGGGAGCTCGGTGGTGTCCCAGCAGCTCTGCACACCCGCTGCCCTTCCTGGTGCTGGGAGTCTGTCACTGCATCATTCCCTGGTGCTGGGGGTCTGCAGCTCCACCCATCCCTGGTGCTGGAGTCTGTCACTGCACCATCCCTGGTGCTGGAGTCTGCAGCTCCATCATTCCCTGGTGCTGGAGTCTGTCACTGCACCATTCCCTGGTGCTGGGGGTCTGCAGCTCCACCCTTCCCTGGTGCTGGAGTCTGCACTCCACCATTCCCTGATGCTGGAGTCTGCAGCTCCACAATCCCCCCTGTGCCCTCAGGCACCCTCTGCACTGCCTCGAGCAGCTGCCCCCAGCCAGCACAAGGGCCCCCTGCTGCCCCTGGGCTGGGGAATTTGTCTAATTCCTCCTTATTTACCTCTTACTCACTGTACATCTGTCTGTTCTTGGTTTGGCTTAGTCCTGTCTTGGTTCCTCTTCCAGTGAAACAATCATGTTTTTGCACCAAATTTTCTACCAAGGCCTGAAGGCGCGGATCTCCAGCTGGCCCACGCTGGTGCTGGGTGAGTACTGCTGCCCCCTCCTCATCCTCCTCCTCATCCTCCTGCTGCTGCTGCTCCTTTTCCTTCTGCAGCTTCACAGGCATTTGCCAACCAGCAGCAGAGCACTGCACACCATGTCCTGGCTTGGTCATGAGCCAGGAGTACACAACCACAGAGTACAAACCGCAGAGTGACCAAATTCTGGCGTTCCTGGTTCTGCTGGGAGGTGGGACTGGAGTGTGCACAGGAGGCTGATGCTGGAGAGCATCGCTGGGTCCCATCAGACCCTCCTGAGCTCAGCAGGGCAGAGCTGGGGGGCACGAGGAGCAGGACACCCCGGGGCTGCTCTGGCTCCCAGGGGGGGCTGCAGCAGCCCACCCACCCACGCCCCTGCTCTGCCTGCAGCCGACCTGTTTGACATCCTGCTGCCCATGCTGAACATCTACCAGGAGTTTGTGCGGAACCACCAGTACAGCCTGCAGATCCTGGCGCACTGCAAGCAGAACCGCGACTTCGACAAGCTGCTCAAGCACTACGAGGCCAAGCCCGACTGCGAGGAGAGGACCCTGGAGACCTTCCTCACCTACCCCATGTTCCAGGTGAGCCCTGCGGCCAGGGCTGGCCCCAGGGGGCTGGGGAGGTGGGATGGCCAGCGCACACCCCATGCCCACAGCTGGCAGTGCACACCCCGT